TTAAATTCAATTTTTTAACCCTTATTGTTAAAGAGAAACACCCAATATATAAACTAAAATGTATCTTCGATCTTTCAACCAATGGTGAATTATATAACAGATAAGGGGTTTCGAGCTGTGTGTTATGCAACTGTTTCAACGTACCTCATGTAACATCATGATATTGATCTTCAAAGAATTCCAGTGTAATTTATTTGGGGCCTTCAATTACCAAATAAAAAATCAAGTTATGACTTGTGAGCATTGAGTAGATACGTACTTTTATTCAGTTTAACCAATTATAAGATCAACAATTGGACAAAAAGAATTGCTCTATCAAAAACTAATGAAACAATAGAGTAATTGAGCAAATAATGTAAAAGGTAGAAAAGTGAAAACACAAGGACAATGGAAACTGAGAATTGTAGGCCACAGGCTTTGAAGTTTTTGTTTTCAATAAATGTTTGTATTACCGTTTTCTTCCCAAAGAGCCATTGGACAAACCCACAAGAATGTCCAAGTGCTGCCAATGATCAAGTAACTTTGTGTGTTTCTATCAAATGAAAGAGGGGACATGAACATTGATTTCCAGTACGACTTGGTTTTGATGAGGAGAAATGTCAACAACCCTATTTTTCAATCGGTGCAATGACGCCATGAATGAGCTAGTACTTTTGAATTGCATTCTTTTTTCAATCACATAAATTTGTACCATTTCTTCAGTTTCCTCTTTTGAATACTTGAAACTTGAAATTTAATTACTTTAATTCTCTTAAATTTAATGCTTTTTTGTTATAATTTCAAGCAATATGTTGGAATGTAGAAGTTTATTGTTACTTAGAGTGCACTTTTAGTCATTTTAGGTATTTTTCTTTTGCTATCTTAGTTTTAAAAAAAGTCTCATTCCCCCATTTGGTTGTGATGGATAAATTTCATTTTCTTTAGGGGTAAATATTTAAAATTTAAAAGTTATTAGAAGCATAAAGTGAGGTAAATTGGAAGTAAAATCCATGCATGCCATTTTCTTGTGCCTAGCTGTAAGAATAAGTGCTCTTAGCCATGTGCATGCTTAGGCACGCCACTTCTTTGTGCTTGGACACACGTTTTTTAGTATTTATACTTTGTAAAGTTATTTTATAGCAAACAAAATGAAGAGAAAGGCAGGAATTAATTAGAGACCCAAGAGCCACTAAAGGATTAGGGGACTTGAGGAAACTTTTTGAAAAATTTATTTGGATTCATCTCTAATTAATTTCTTAAAATAGTCAAGGAGTTTTCTTTTTATCCTCTAGTTTCTTCTTAAATCACAAGTTTTTAAACTTTGAAAGTTAAAATTTCGTGGGCCCATTTAGGGTTGTGATGTAAATTATGGTTTGGCCTCTAAATTTATAATTAATGGTTTGCATGAAGTAGTCAATCACTCGTTGACTTGTTAAACCTTCATGAAATTGAAAAATGGATTGTGATTTGTGGTTCTTGATTAGGTATGTGATCTTTTGATTTCGTTATGCCTTTATATACCTTATTCTCACGTGGTTTGAATTAATGAATGAATCAAATTGCACGGGTTTAGGACGGTTCATGTACTAGGGAATTGGATGTGATATAATTTAGTTTAAATTGATCTTAACCATTAATGATTTGCTTCAAGTAAGGGGAAGTTGAGTCATTGGGTGAACATTTGTTGAAGGCTGACCCCAATTAATCACTCTTGCCTTTTTGATAATTCCATTGCAATTGGATTAATTAAACTCTTTACATTGTGTTTTTAATTTTATCGCTTAAATTATATTGGTTGTTTTAATTATTGCCAGTAAAAAAATAGAGTTTTCTTCAATTTTAATCATTTACAAATTAATTTAATTTAGTGAACTAATATATATAAGTTAATTCCTTTTATGAACAATATTTTAGTTTTTTATATTACTTATTTGAATTCATGAACTCGTCCAAATTGTAATAAAGAATAAATGTAACTATTTTATATATGAAACGCCAAAATTAAAATGCAAACTATATCACTCTTTTAGTGATTATGTCACCTTAATCATGACTATTTATGTTGCAACATGCGTTTCTGAAAAAATATAAAATAAATAAATGTAGGTAACTTTCAAATAGGAAAAACAAACACCTACAATCTCATCTACGCTCACAAAATTTTGTAAATAATTATCTTTATTTAAATTCAGACTCAATTAAAAGATAAAAATTCTATCTTTTATAGGAAATTTCTATAAATTTTTATTAACCTTAAATTTGATCAATCATCCCTAAATTAAACTACCAAAATTTTAATTGAATCGACTTTCTTAAATTTATTCATTTAATAAAAACTTTCTTTTCTACGTTATAAATGTGTAAACACTAATTTCATAGTTGAATTTTTTTTATTATATTATAAATATGCAGATACGGTTTTCATAATCCAAATTTATATTTAAGTCAAGCGAAATAAACATGAAGGGGACATTGGTTTTTTTATTTTTTAATCTAGAGCATGTATTCATTTTTTAAACTTTTACCTAAGCTTTGTATTTCTTATCATATTTGGAGAGGGAGAAGGGGAAAAGAGAGAATTGATAATAATACAATCTCTATTCATACTTAAAAATATAATTATCATTTTTTACTTAACTTTACCCTAAATTTATATATTTATCTTATTTTTTTATTTTTATTACTATATTACAAATATTATTGTTGATATAATTATTATTCTCATTATCAAAGTGAATATTATTATTGCTATTATCTTTGTTTTTTTTTTTTGCTATTATAATTTGTATTGTTATTATTATTGTTGCAAGTTTGACTAAGCTCTCGTCCAAACAAATCTAAACTGAAAAAGTTGAATGATTTATGGGCTTTAATATAAAATTTAGTATTAAAATTTAAAATTATAACAACATGAAAGTAAAAATTATTTTTAATTTTTTTATCATCAAAAATTAATTTTGTTACATTTTTCTTTAGTCAAATTACAAAAATTAAAAAAAAATAATATGTTGTTAAAAAATTTAGACCTAACTCATCCTTTCGCGCCTAAGATTAGACATTGGTGCATGAAATTTGTAAAACTGAGCATCTGCACGGATAAATTTCATAGAACTAAACATCTATGAGTAGCTCAACGTTCAAACTGAATAATAATCTTAATATATATTATCAATGTAACTCATCACTTGCACTTATATATAAAATAAAAATTAAATTAACACATAAAATTTTTGTATAAATTTTACATTAAATTATGTACTATGTTATAAAAGAAAAAAAATTGTTTTGACCATAAACCAATCAAGTATAGAAAGGTTCACTCTTGCATTGATTCCGGCCATTTTAAAATTTTATACTAAAGAATTATTACTTCTGAACAGTTGTTAGGGCGCTTTTTTAAGAATATTACATGAAATCGTTTTTATACCTAACTACCTAAGTAATTAATAAATAAAATCATATTAAGATTAGCTTAAATAATAAAATTGTAAAATCACTACTAAAGAAAGTAAGAAATAAAAATGTCATTGCACAAAAATAGCAGGTTGTACCTTCTTCAAGTCTGCTCATGACGTACTTTTGATTTTATGTTTGAGGGGTTCAAGGTGTACCATAAATCTTAGATGTAAAAATCTTGAATCTTCAAGTGGTCCTTTATCCTTCTATCGGTGGAAGAGAATAAATTATTATTATTATTATTAAATTTTATTATTATTAAATTAGTCTCTTATATATACAAAAAGTTATAATACTATGTTTTTGAAAATTTATGATTAAATTAATTCACTAAAATGTTATTATATTTATCATTATTAAATTGAAGTAGTCATACAAAAAAAATTCACAATAAATGAAATATTAGAGTTAGTAATTTGAAAATAAAATTTGTGAAAAAGTAAAAGTTTATTTATCCTGAGTCTATTGTATTAAAATTGTTGACTAGTTTTTCAATTTTCATATTAAACTAGTATCAAACAGCACATAGAACAAGGAGAAATTCTTGGACCATAATAAACAGATCCAGCAACTTTGATGAATGAGATTTTGTAGTTAGTTATCAATATTATTAAACGAGTGCAAAAATTTATACATTGAACAAAGGTGAATGGATATGTTGTTTCATTTATCCTTGCTGCACGTCAAGTTGTCAACCCAAATGCAGAAAAAATTAATCTTTTGTTCAAAGTTGCATTACTCTTTTGAATATGCATGGAGCCCATTAATGATGCCAAGCCACAAAAGGTATCCAAACTGTCAATATCTGCCTGCCCCCACAACCCCCCCTTGTATAAATTAATCCCTGACCAACTTCAATTTCATGCACATTTTTCTCTCTCTCTTCCTCTCAATTTTCCCACTTCAATTTTTCTTAGTAAAAAGAAAAATGGAAAAGAAAAACAGTTATTACTTATTACATCAAAAGGTGAACATCATTAATAAAGTATGAATAATAATAATAAGTCTTTGCACAGGAAGTCAATGCCCGAACCATACACATTTTTCATGAGAGCTAGCTAATCTGGGAATGTATAGAAGAAAAACACAGCCTACCCAAGTATGGTGCGTTCTTGACTCCCTCTTCTAAGACAACAATTACTACTACTTACTACTGCTATACCACCACCAGCAAGTGTCCAAATTTAACATACCCAAAAAAGAAAAAAGAAAAAAAGAAAAAAAACAATAATAATGATAACTTACCTTACCCTTCAACCCAAAGTAAAATAAAACAAAATGAAAATTGGTAGTTGGTGTGCAATGTAATGAAGCTTGAACCTTGGAAGCAAAATACAGCTCTACCATGAGGAGGAGGAGTAAATAATGAGGCTTGTGGTGTTGATGAGAGGGCATTGAAGTCCCAACTAACTCAAAACACTTCTCCCACTCATTGATTATAGCAGCAGCACAAATAGCCTCAGGTCTGAACCATTTCTGATGAGCATATTTAAGAATGTGAAGAAGAGTGAGTAAAGGAAACTATCACACACACAAAACACACACACACATAGAAGCAGGTTTCATCAGGAACTAGGACAATTCAAGGCAGCTTTTATTTGCTGCACAGTGTTGCCGATAAGGCTATTAACAGTGGTCACCGACTCCATGTTGAGCTTGGCAGATGGCAAGCTACTCACTAGGATTTGGAATGCTACTGTGATGAGTGAGCCACTTGAAGATGAACCACAACCCATGATTCTGTTTGTGTTTGTGCTTGTTGATGCACCTCCTACTCCTACTCCTACTCCTTCTTGGTCTTGTTGGCCATCAGGTGAAATTGTGAAGCCTGACGGAAGTAGAGGAATGTATGAAGGGTCTTCTCCACTCATTGCTATGTTTATGGCTGGTAGATCAACAGGACAATACACCACAAGGGAACCTGAGGAGTCCACACAACTCTCTTGGAGTATGAGCATGTTGTTTTGACTTGTGTTGAAAGCCTGTGAAGTTATAATTGGATAAAGGGAGAAAATTTAATTTGGAATGTGAAGAAACATTTTTATTGTAATGAGAAAAAAGGGACTACTGAGTAACATGAGATAACAGTGATGATGAAAAATCAAAAAGGCAATTTTTATTGAACAAATTAATACCCATTACAATCGGTTAAGTGATCCATTAATTAAATTTGATTAAAAATTATATTTTTTTCTTTTTAATATAATAAATAACATAAGATGATTTAAATTTGTCAAAATTTAAAATCTCATTTTCTTGATTTTTGTGCATATATATATATATATTGTTTTTACTCGTTGTATTAAACAAAAATAATTAGTACTAAAAATATAAAAAATTGTAATTTCTAAATGTTAAAAAAATAAAAAATTTAACGAGGATTAATTTTATATATAAAAGTCATATTTTAAAGAATCAAAAACTTATTTAAACCTAAATCTGAATTAGATCATGGAAGAAGCATGTCTTACTCGAAGCACTGATATGCAGTTACCAGGGTGTGAACCATTTGCTATATGAGCAACCTCTTGAACAGCATTACCATTGGAAAGAACATCCCACTAAACAAAAGCACAAAACAACATTAAAAGCATTTCTAAAAAGTCACAACTGGAAACAAGAAAACTAAGTAAAAAGTCTGACAACCTGAGGTCTTTTCCTTTCATCCTTGAAAAAATTGAACACAGTTTGTGGAGGAATTGGGAGCCAAATGGTGGTGGCTGCACTTAGCACCACACCATTAGGTTGGCCAGGATCTGTGCTCTTATGCACAGTGACTCTGACTCCAATCTCATTCAACCCTGAGAGTGTGGTCCATCTATGACCAGGTGATGCACTAATGCTTGTACAGAAATTGGTAACCATCCTTTGTGCAAGTTTCATCATGCTCCTCTTACCCTCGGGAGATGGAATCACTGAAATTTGAATCAAGTTAAAATCATAGCAAGAATTTAAAATCATACATGAAAGAGATGGTGCAATTCAATTACATACCTCCTCCAAGATCACGGGTAGAATTGCCTGTCACCATTAGACACGCAAGCCTTTCACACATCCTTTGAAGTGTAGTGAGCCATCTTTGTGCTCCAAATGCCATGCCGCTGTAAATAATATTTCTATAGAGTCTATGAACTGGATTTTTATCTTCAATCTCTACATGTTCAATCCAAGTAACCTACATGACAATTTAGAGCAGTGAACAAAAGTTGTCTATTAAGGGTATCAACGTAGCCAACATTATCAATGTGTTAACTTTGTACCTTGGAATACCCATTAGGCATGTCTTGGATAAAGCAACCAGAAGGAAGACGATGAGATCGAAATTGAGGAGCAAATTGGTTATCTTGAGGAAAATCATATGAAACATCTACTATTGCCCACAAGCCTTGTTCAATTTGTTGACAGTAACGCAGGAAGTAGAACTCTCTAGTAGAAACAAGTGGAGAAAGCACTTGCAATTCTTCATACATCTGAATTCAGAAGAAAGAAAAAAAATTAAAAGTGGAAGGGAAAAGGATATGAAAATTGAAAGAAAATAAAACTGGATAAATTTCCAACTTACCAATTGCAAAGAACCACTGTGACCACCCATCATTCCAGAAGATATAACTTCAATAGTTCTTGCCATTGTGACAATAGTGGGAAATAGCTCCATCCACTTGTTCTACAAAAATCAATCATGATAATTGAACAATTAATAGAATTAAATTGAATCATTACTTCAATTGTACACAATCTAGAACTTAAAAATTAGAAAAAGAAAATATTATTAAGAACTTCTTACAGGGTCCATAAACATGTCAACCAAAGTTAAGCCGTTCATAATTACAACTCCTGAATCTCTAGAAGCTTCAATGCGAACATTGGGGTTCTTCAAGTGACTATTAGTCTTTGGAAACATTCTTTCATATGTATCAAGATTAAGAACATCCCTCCCATCAGCACTTGATTTAATCCACAAGGGCTCATTTGTTTGCAAGAGTCTTATCAATTCTTCCATGGCATTTGAAGCAATGTCTGACATAAGGGACTTATCCATGTCTGAAAGACAAGCAGGTTGGTAAGGAGGCACATTTGGCATGGATGAAGAAGAACTCCCAGGAAGAAGATCAAGATCAAGGGAAGGACCACCCAATCCTTGGCTCCCAAAACTCCCCATTGACAAGTCCAAAGAAGATATATGGATAGGCTGAACTGGAGGAAGCTGAGAAATTGGTCTTCCAATGTATTTAGCTGCAATGCTAGACACTCTATCAAGCTGCCAATTTTCGATGGACAAGGAAATTAGAAAAATAAAAATTATTCATATTCTTACTCATATTCATAAATCTAAACAAAGGAATTTATGAACGATTAAAAAAAAAAAAAAAGGCTTCGCAATTGCAGCATCGTTACCTCCTCTTTGAGTTGGGCATTCTCCAACCTCAATTTTTGCTCATCAAAATAAGAATCCTCATTGATAGGAGGTCCACCACAAGAAGGGCATATAACATTTTTCAGGGCCTCCCTTATGGCTATGTTCTCACAACGTATCTTGTCATTCTCTGCCCTGAGTGCACAATTATCAGCTCTCTCATGCTGTGCCTGAATTGTTCAATCCAAAATAACCGAAAAGAAAATTTATGAAATGACACACACATATATAGCCTCATAATCATGAATAAAACACAAAGTAAAAAACTAAAATACAATACCAAGCACAACACTAAAACATATCCTAGACCCCAAGGGAAAAAAATGAAAAAAAGAAAAAGAAAAATATAGGCAGTACCTTCATCTGGGTCCTCCTATTCTGAAACCAAAATTTGATCTGTCTAGGCGCCAAGCCTAGTTCTCTGCTTAACTGCAACCTCTGCTTCTCATCTGGGTGTGGACACTCCTTGAACATCCTGAAGACATCAACATCGACACACATATTTAATTCACATGGAGATAAAATAGAAAGATGGAACATAAATTTGATAGAAGAAGGGTGCAAAAACAAAAAATTATAAAGAGCAAAACAAAATAAAACAAAAGAGAGTGGAAATGAATAAATGAATAGCCTCTTACGATTCAAGCCTTTGAATCTGATTAGCTGTGTGACGGTGGTAACGCTTCTTCCTTCTCTGAGAATCAGAACCATCATGGTGATGATGGTGATCACCAGGGGACCCACTTCCTCCACTTCCATACTCCATCTCTCTCTCTCTCTTGATCACAACCACCACCTTCTCTTCCTTGTTGTGTGCACTGAATCAGCTACTCCCATCACAGCCAAACCATTGAGAAAACACAAACAGGAAAAGACACAAACAAAGCTTAACAGAAGAAGCCCCTACTTTGGATAGTGGGTGTGAAAAAAGAAGCAAACTTTGGTGACGAGATGAATGTGATGATTTTTTATGGTATGGTTCTATAGAACAACAATAAAGCAAGCTTTGTTTCTTGAGAAGCAAATGGAAAACACACTCATTTAGCACATAATAATAATAATAATATCACAACCAAAAACAATAATCAAAATATATAATTTTCTTAATTATATATTATTCTGAAACGGCTGTGACATCAAAGATAGCGGCATGATTTGTGAGAGAGTGAGTTATGGCAAATCTCAAGGGCATGAATGAATAGCAGTATATAGAGAAGAATAGAAGATGATGATCTAATCACTATAGAGAAAAACCAGCCACTCACCAAGTCACAACAACAACATCAACAAAAAAAAAAAATACACCCTCTTCTCTTTCTCTCTCTATATAAATAGGTACCATATATATATATAAAGCTATTGCACCCGATGTATGAATGAATGAAAGAACACACTTGTATTGTTTGTACCCTTTTGAATTTATATAATATATTTGTGAGTGTATATTATGACACAGGGTGAAAAGAAAGCGTAACTGATGGAGGGGCTTTTAAAGCGTTTGGCTTTGTGAGAGAACGCGGAGAAAGAAAGAGAGAAAGAAAAAGAAAGGACTTTTAAGGTGCCATCTAATATCTATCTATATCTCTAACATCTATACTCACTACACTACACTAACACTAATACACTGTTATATATATATATACACAATAATCCACTCTCTTTTTCTCTCTTCAATTTTCTCTCTCTCTCTCTAAGATGGTAGAGTGGTACAGCCACCACCAGGGTGTGTCCCCCTTTGGGTCTTAAATGAGTCGCCGGAATTGGGTTGCCGGTGAACCGGCGGGAAGAGGCTGAAATGACTGATACAGCCTTGGAAAGGGTTTTGTTTCCATTGTCATCACACACTTTCTCTCTCATATTTATGTGCATGCCCTTGAGTTTCTCTCTTTTGGTTTTCCATTCTTGGTTCACACACACATGCTGAGGTGTGTGCTAAAAGTCAAACGTTGGTATCCCATTGGGGGAGTTAAGGATTGGAAATTTGGAATAGAGATTGACACTTCTCAAATTTACCAAGGAATGAACACATGCAAGAGCTTGCGTTAAAAAATTGGAGTGATTAATATAATATTATTTTTTAAGATTAATAATTTTTGCATTTTAATCTTATTTATATTATGTTATTATAAAAATAATTTACAAGTTTTTTAAATTATTCTCAAGATATTAATAATTTATTATTTTTAAAGTAATGGATATTATGATATTTCTATTAATTGTGACGTTTTAATTTCAATAAAAGTAAAGAAAAACTAGAGTTTAAGAAACTGAACGATTAAAAAATATTACATAGACATAATAGGAATAAAAATAACAAAATCACTTTTAACTAATAGTTGAAAATAAAAAAAATATATTAATTTGAGTAGTGTTAAAAAAATTAATAATTTTCTATTTTAGTTATTTTATTAAATAGTATTATTTTTATAAAATAAAATTTTTAATTAATAAAATAAAATTTAAGGTAATTAAAATACTTTGTAAAATAAATACATGGTATTGGTTATTCCTTGAAACATAAAACATTTTTGTGGAACATTACCCAAATTTTCACCATTCCAAGAATGAACTGAGCCCCCTAAAGTTACGTTGTCAATTTTAAACTTTTTATTTATTAAATATGCACAAATTTGTACAAATATATTTATAATTTTTATTAATTTAAAATAATTATAACTTAAATAATAATTAGTTTTAATATGATAAAAAAATAAAATTTTTGATTTTTCTAAAATAAATTATATATAAAAAATAAATATAACAATTTATATAAGCTTAAACGTTTTAAATCTTAATAATAATAATAATAATAATTTAGTTCTAAATGTATAAATATATTTGTGTTATACAAATTTATTTATACTTTATATTAAATTAATTTTATTTTAAAATAAATAAAAATATAGTTTAAATATAAAAATATATAAAAATAAAATATTATTATATTAAATAATATCAAATATAGTTACATTAATAAATATGATAAATATATTTTATATATAATTTTTTGTATATTTTATATTTTTTCATCTTCTTTAATAATAAAAATTATTACTCTTTTAGTTGATCTAAACATAAAAAATAATTGTTTTAAAAATAAATTAAAGAAAACATTAAAATAAAAAGAAACAGTAAATTTTTTAATTATTTTTAAATATAAATAATATAAATTTATTATATTATTATTGTTATTAAATATTTTAAAATAAAAATAAAAAATACATATAAAAAAGTATATACTATAAATAGAAATATAACAAAAAATATTTTTCAATAAACAATGAGTTTTAGTATTATATTCAAGTAAATTCTATTTTAATGAACACTAATTTTTATTTCTTAAGAATTAAAGTAAATATTAAGATAAATTTATTTAATAAATTATGTATAAAATTATTAAATTTAAAATTTAAAATAATATATTTAATTTTAACTGATAATAAGTAAATATATACTAATAATTAATAATTTTAATTTAAAATATTTTTTGAATTTAAATTATTATCGATTTTAAGAATATAACATTATAAATAATTATATATATATATATATATATATATATCCTACGTTATATTTTTGTATAAACTGAATTTAAAATTGAAGAATGAAATGTAAGTTCATTACATAATTAAGTACTCTAAAAAAAATTTAAAAGCATTTAAAATTTAATTCTAATCTCAAAAATTTCAATAATCACATAATTAGACTGTAAAATGTTAATAACTAAATATAGTTTGAAATTTTAATATTAAAAATATTGAAAAATAATATTTTTATAATATTTTAAAAATTGATTCATGTATTTATTTGATTGTATATTTTTTAATTGTATGAGAAATATTTAAAATGTGAAAGAAATATTAAAACGTTGAAGAGTTTTGATTCAATGTTAAAACAAATTATATATATAAAAAATTAAATATAACATTCGAATTTAATTTATATTTAAAATATTATAATTTATTTATTTATTCATTTATCATAGTATAATAATATTAAATATGTAAATCAAATCATTACAATAAATTTTAATAATAAATTTATATATTATCTTTTTATTATAATGATATTTAATAATAATGATATTTAATTACTTTTAAATCTAAAATTTAAAGTAAAAATCATTAATATAATATTTAAAAACAAACTACACTATTCTTAAATTTTAATTAATAAATAATTTTAGTTATAGAATAAATAATAAAAAATAATAAAAAATTTAAATTTATATCACTATTTAATTTTGTCATAATTAAAATTTTATATAAATATTTTAAAATTTTTATATTTAGAAAAAATTACAAATTTCGTAACATCAATATTTTTAATAGTTTGTACATAATTTAAATCTTAATATTAAAATAACTATAAAAAATTAAATTTTTAAAAAATAAAAATTTTTAAAAAATAAAAATATTATCAGTAGTTATCATAATAAAAAAAATTAATATAATTTCTATATCAAAATAAATCTATAAAATAATAACGTTTGATATGTCAATATTAATATAAATTTTTTTCATCTAGATATAAAAATAAAAACTTCATCTATAATATATACTTGACACAAGTTTAATCATATATAAAAAAAAAAATACAATACATGATATTATTTTATATTCAAACTGATTTTAAATTAAAAACACTAAAATATAACATTATTATTATTATTATTATTATTATTATTATTATTATTATTTGTGTATTTAAATTTACTATAACGCAAATTGTTATAATATTTTATATGATTTTTAAAATATTATTAAAGTAGGAAACAATAATAAGTCAGTAAACTAATAAATATGCTAAAAGCCTAGATTAAAAGGAAGTTATATAAGATAAGTTAAACATATGTATAAAATAATTGTATATTATTTTTACTGTTGTAATTTTTTTTTTAAAATGATACTAAATATAATTTTAATATAAATATATTAAAAATTATAGTTATAACTATAAATAAAAGTATATTAACTTTTTAATTTTTTTATTGTCATGAAAAATAAATTAATTAGTAAAATTATTATACAAATAAATTGATAATAATATAATGCATATTTTTAATCTTAATATTAGTTGTTAATAAATATATAAATATAAAAATAAAAAATAGATTAAAAGGAACTTAAAAGTGAAATTAAATAACATAAAAAATTTATTACTTTATTTTTTTTTTCTAGACAATAAGTATCCTCTCAATAAAAATAGAGTTTAAGTTGAGAAAGACCATCATGAGCAATACAATTCTTTGTCTCAATATTTAATATAATTGTATTTTTTAAAATTCAAATTATATAATTTATTAATTTAAAAAATTTAAAAGATGTATTTTATATTATTTGATGATTTAATATGTTATTGGTCATAATAAAATTTAAAAATCAATTAAATATGAAATAATTTAATAAATACAATAAGATTATGGAATATGAGTTTTAAAATTCAAATAAATAATCTTTAGGTTTTAACTCATACATTTGTTTATATATTTTTAATTAAATTTAATATGATACATTACTCATTTATGATTATAATTTAAAATTATAAAAAAACTTTAATTATGCTCTTATTAAATGATTAAATAATATTTTTAAAAAAGTAACTCATCATATAATAATAATAAATATAAATAAAAGCAAAAAGGACAACAATTAAGTTAAATTTTTTAAAAATATTTATTTTAATAACATCATAATTTTTTTATAAAATAAAATAAATATCATTCTAGTATAAATGCATAAAAAAAACTATACACTGATCTTTAGAAAAAAAA